GCATTGGTGACAGGGCAGTCACAGAAAGAGAGATGAGCCCAAATGAACAAATTAGGGCTTGTAAATTTAAAGAGTAAAGCAGTAAACAGACCCATGCACACAAAAGAAGCCAATAATGAGGAACGAGGAGGTGATGGGTCTCATATAACCATGTGAGTGGAGGTGACCACTATATGTCAGCCCCTAGGAGAACTTTGCATTCCATCTGGAATCAAAATGAGTAGAAGGAGCTACTCTGGTGGGGGAAGGGGCTAGGGTGGGATAGGGACATCCCAGGAAGAAGCATCCACAAACACAAAGTCCCAGAGACAGAAAGTTGGTAAATTCTGGGAATAGACAACATTTCAATGTGTCTGGAGTTCTGTGGTTATTACAGCAGAGTATAAAACATGACCTGCACCCTCAGACAGCTTACAGTCTGATGGGAGAGATGGACATAGCAACAAATCATTACAATGCATTATGATAAGCACAAGGATAGAGACAAGACAAGTATGAGTGCTATAAATAGAGGGGAGACGTTCAGGTCGGGAAGCAGGAGGGTGTAATATTTTTCATAAACCTTCTGAAACTTTTATGAGGGAGTTTGCCAAAATATGGTAAGTAGTAAATGGGAGATATTGCTAGAAAGGGAAATCTCTGGAAGGGGAAGGAAAAGGGAAAAGACAATATATTTGTAATATATTTACAAGCTGTTGGATTAGTAAACACAGAGAATAATTGCATAGTTCAGCCAGATTCAAGAATCAGAGAAAATTTCTGGAAACCATTGGCCTGTTGCTTCTCTTGCAGACTCTAGTCAAGGTCCATGGTTAAGTGATGGATCCCAGAGCTCTGTATCTACATTGCCTTACCTGGCATCCTTAGGATTGCTGCTTCAAAGGAAACCTACAAATTAGAGACCCAGGACTGAAGGATGTCTCTGCGCTCAGGACAGGGCATGTCTACACTCACTCACCTGGAGTACCCAGAGGGCGCAGAACAATTTTTGCTTCTGGGATTGTTCTTTCTCCCCTAGCTATCAACTCTGGCTGGAGAAATTAGGTCATTAGTAATGGAGTGGTGGCAGAATTACGCTTGTAAACACCAGCAATATAAAGGATAATGGCATGTTTAGGGGAAAAGGTATATTATGGTCTTATGGTGGCAGGTGTGTGTGTGTGTGTGTGTGTGTGTGTGTGTGTGTGTGTGTATGTATGTGTAGGAGACTGCAGTAATGAAAAACCAAGTTGAAGAATTAGGTTAGGGGCAAGTTGTAAAAGTTCTTGAATGATTTTGGAGGGACTTTAGGTTTGATCTTGTGGGCAGTGAGGCATCATGAAAGTGTTTTAAATAAAAGAGATGTGACCAAATGTGCATTTTAAAGCAGCCAGCTCAGAATGCAGTTTGGAAGATTACTGTGGAGGATTAAACCAGGAGGTGGGAAGACCAGTTGGGAAATAATTGCGATCACTGAGGCAAGAAATGACGTGACACTAAATTAAGATATTAGCACTTGGAATAGAGATGGTAGGATAAAGATTGAGAGGAAGTATAAGCAGCATAACTGACAGAATTTAGGGATTACTTAAGAAGAAGGTATAAGAAAAAAGAAGCAAGGGCCTAGGAAACATCTGGTTTGGGCATGGGTGCCTCAGTGGCTGGAGATGCTGCTGGTCATTGCTTGGAACACAGGAAAGGAGTAGGTTGGGAGTTGAGTGTGGTAAGACATATATAATTATGTATATAATTGAGTCTGTGATGCTTGCAGAATATCTAGGGGAGATGCAAATCCAGGCGTAGAGTCCAGGAAAGGAAAGAGTTTGGGGTTAGAGATACCAATAAAAATCACTAGTTATAGGAATTAGTTGAAACCAAGAGAGCCAATGAAATAATTATAGAATTTGACCCAGCTGTTCGCTGCCACTTAGGTCATATGGGGACTCTTGCATAATAGAGAGAGATATTCTTTGCCAGAAGGTATAAACAACCCCCAAGATCCCAGAGCCACAACCATCTGAATTCTTCAGCTATGCATTTGGCAGAAGCTGAAAACCAGCATCCATAGAGAAAACATATTTTGTCTTGTAGATCCAATTTTCCTTGCCCAAAATTCTTAGTTTGGATACAAAGACTATATGATATTTGACATATGGTTGGTTTAGGAATGTTTGTTTCCTCAATGTCGATCAGATTTGCATATGATCCATTTGATCACTTACCACAATCAGTTATAAATTTAGTAAATACTTGGCAAAATTATAAAAGCTTAAATACACAAATTAGATGGGCTGTGAATACAGACATGGAAACAGATGCATAGATTCTTTCTGAAGTTTTCTCTGTCAGGGTTCCTTCAGTTCTCAATCTCTTCTGGGGAAATCAGCATTGACGGTGTCATTCAAAGTGAAATTCCTTGATGATTTGTTTTGGTGACCCTATAAATGTCAGGAGTGTGGAAGTGTTACACTGGCAGCTTCAAAGTAATCTCCATGGTACTCATCAAGAAAGACCCAGTAAATCTTTTTGTAAGTTTGATTTTTCTGTGCTCTTCTATATCTATTCATTATTTAATTTCCCAAGTATTTGACACTTCCTAAGGCAAGCAGAATTTACATGGTTTAAGCCCTTGATTTACCTAAAACTTCTCAAGATTTTCCTTAGTTGTATTAAGAAGGTCTTTATTTTCTTTGGTGAAAATAAATGATGTGCTTTTACTTTATTTGCAAAATGATATCAAAGCATCTGTACATAGCAGTAAGCGCAAATAAAGGTTACAAGTGGTGAGGTTTTCTGTTATAATTACTTTTAACATTACAAAAGTGATGCATTATTTTAAAATTTCGAGCTATCAAATATAAAAAGTAATTTTAAAAAGAGGGAATATCCATGATCATTAAAAACTTGATCATTATTTCATGTTTATTAGCCACTTGTGAAGGTATAGATAACATTTACAAAAAGAGTAACATGCTAACTTGTTTTGTATCCTTATTTTTACTTAACAGAATATTTAAGCTATTGTTTCCTATCAACACTATGGCTCTACTTCATTCTTTTCAAGACTGACATGGTATTATGTAGTAAAGAGGTCCCATTATTTAACCATGACTCTATTTATGGACATATGCTGCAACTATAGAAAACACTGAACAGCCTTATACGTACATTTTTGCACACACATATCTGCAAGATACATTCTTAGAAGTAGAGTTGCTAGGTCAGATGATAAATGTGTTTTTTTTCTGACTGCCGTTGCCAAATTGTCTTACAAAGGAGTTGTACCAATTTACACTCCCACTATGAATAAGAATGCCTACTTCCCTTGATCCCCTGTAGTAGAACATTCTAAAAAACTTTTGAGTCTTTGCCAACCCAGTAAGTGAAAAATGGTTACCCTGTAGTTGAATCTGCATTTCATTGTGGTTTGATTTGCATTTCTTCAACTATTCCTTTTTCAGTGAATCAGATACTTACATTTTTTACTCATTTTTTCCAGTGATTTTTTTTCTTATTTGTAAGAACTGTTTGTTCATTAAGAAAACTAATGCTTTGCTATATTTGTTGCAAACAAATTAACTCAGTTTGTTGTTCAACTTTTGAATTTGCTTATGGTATTTTTATGATGCTAAAATTTTTAATTTTATGAGCTGAAATTTATGAATCTTCTATGGTGTCTCATTTTGTATCTTGCTCAAAAAGCATTCTCAGCATCACAATTATAAAAAACAAAGTTTTCAGTCTTTATTTTTTATCTTAAATGTTTAACTATTTGCTCTATCTGAAAATGTTTTGGACATAAGGATTGAGGTAAGGATCCAATTTAATATTTTCCAGAACCTAAACTATTTATAATATCTTACCCTGCCCCATGATTTATCACAGTTTGGAATCCCTTGTGTAGCTTGGTCTATTTATTAAACTTATTCTCTTCAACTTTTTTCCTGCTTATTCATATTCCACAACCAAATTGTCTTGGTTATTATAGCTGTATAATATATTTCAATATATGAAATATCTTTCTTGTTTTTCTACTTTCTTTTGGTATTTTCCAGCTATTCTTTCATGCTTATTTTATCATGAAATCTTTGGAAGCAGCTTATGCAATCACAAAAAAATTAATATCTTGTTGATAGCATGATGAAGATTGTGCTACATGACCTATTTATAGATCAATTTAGGGAAAATTGAAACTTTAAAAAAAAAATCAAGGCTTCTTACTAATCCCCATAAAATAATTTCTTATTGTTAAATTTTTCATGTATGGCCCTCAAAATCATTTTAAAGTGTTCTTTACATAGATCTTATACATTTCTCAAGTTTATTCCTATGGGTTTTATGGATTTAATTTATATGTAAAAGAATCTCTTCATTAAGTATATATTCTATGTAATTTTGTATGTAGAAACGCTATTGATTTTGTGTGATTTCCGATTATTTTAATAGTTTATTTGGTTTTAATGTGTTTTCCTTGGATGGTCAAAACTGTCTTCTATGAATCAGTGATAAATTTGGCTCCTTCTAATTTCTATACCTCCCATTTCTCTTTTCTGATTTTTCTGACTCCTTTCTCCAAAAAGGAAAATAAGATTGATGTATTTATGAAGCCTTTTGCCATTAAGAAATGTTAAACTTTTATGTAGGAAAAAAATCTGTCAGTTCTTCTGTAGCTTCATGTCTTGTTTCAGATGATTTTTCCCATCCCCCCCAGGCTAAAGACACATTGCATATTTTCTTCTAATATTTATAGTTTTCATTTTACATTTACATCTTTAATCCATCTGGAATTTATTGCTATATATTGCAGGAGATAAAAATCTAACTTTATTTTTTCCAGATGGATTGCAAAATTTCCCAACATCATTTGTAAAATTGGTCAGCCTTTCCTCACTGGTTTGAAATGCCACTTTAATCATATTCTAAATAGATCAGTTTTATTTTTTAAACCAGAGCTTAAAAACTGTAAAGGAAATGAAGTAGAGAACAAAGACATGAAAAGCCAGCAAAAAATCCACATTAAGTTAAAGTTGTGCACACACTATTTAATGCATATAATAAAATACAAAGGCCACTAATAGCAAAATAGTATAAATATAAATACTCCAGAGAAAATATTCTTATATGGTATTCTAGTAAGAAAGATTCAGAGGATGGAATGGATACTCATAAAATATAAGACCGTAGCAGTTAATTATTCAAACATTGTGTAAAGTTACTCCCTGCATATGGAAAGTTATTCGAAGCCTCAAAGCTGTAAACATCCTCCAGCTGCCTAGTTTAACCCCAAATCAGATGTTTCTGAGAGCAAATCAGAATGTCCACTGAGTAAAAAGCAAATTCTGAAATTAAAAAAAAAAAATAACAATCCTCTTTTCTTCTTGTAATTCAAGACTGTTTGGTTTTTCATTTGCGTCTCTGAGTCTCTGTAGTATATGTTACCATCCCTCTTCCTTGGCATCGGAGGAGGGCTAAAGTGGACAGAGACCTGGCATCTGCAATTCTTTCGCTCTTTTAACAGGAAAAGCTGGTTAAGAATTATCAAGAATTAAATGTCAAACAGATTATTACATTCAACTCCGAAACCTGGATAGAAATCTTAAGGCATGTGCCCCTGCAAATGCATGGCTCTCCAGGGCTTTGAAAAGTTTCAATTAAATAGTTGACAATTAGTATTATAATAGTGAATCCTGATATTCCTTGGTCATATCTATATGGTTCTGTAAGGCCTGAAGTGCTATTTGTTAGTGGAACTAAAATGGAGCCAAGAGTAAATTTATATCAGACTCTCCACTGGAACATTATAAAGAATGTTACTGGCCAATTCAAAATTTTATTTTATTATGCTATTGATACAGCTTAAATAAAAATTAAAAGAATAATCAAAGATAAAGACAGTTTACTAATATTACTATGTCAAGTCATGTCCTTTGAGAGTCATCCAGTAAGGGCAAAGGAAACGCACAAGATGATCATGAGGTGCGTTTTCACGCAGTATCATTGAAACATGCACATTGCGTTTTCTTTTACAAGTAGAATGATATGTTTTTAGGAAGGATATTTGAGTGAGCTTTAATCAAGCAATTAAATATCAACAAAGGTAATAATAGCAACAGCACCAACAGCTACAAATAAGCCATTTTCCTCAGGGGTTGGGGATTAATCTGTTGTGTGTCTGGGTGAGGGGTTATGATAGACGGGATGGCTTGCATCACATGATACAGGTGATGTAAGCAAGTTATCTTATTACAAATAAAATGTAAATGTAAACAAGTCCCAGGATGTCAACACATGGGAGGTAATTGATGTTCCAGCCACCTTATAACAAACACTTAGATGTTTTGAAACATTACATTATTTAGCATTCCACACTAAAAACAGGCAATTAACTGAATAAATCTGTACTATTTCATCAGGAGTCTTAGGACTGGCTATCATATAATTTAGGTTTAGGGTTTTTTTCCCGAATAAACTAAAGGAATGCAGATTGGTTTTTTTTCCTACTGTAAAGGCAGCCAGTCTAAGCGGGTGGGAGTACTGGCAGCTAGGTTAACAAATGCTGCCCTAAGCAGATTTTCCTGGAAAACCTTGCAGAGCCTGTGTCTATTTTTGCCACTATTAATTGCCAAGATGGTCCTGGATGCTCTTTGACTTCCTGACCCTCTAAATAAAGCTAGACTTTAGACAGACTTTTTATTTCTCAGGCCAGCAGAAGAGTGCTAATTACAAAATACTTTAATTTAAACACTAGAAACTCATTCACGAACCCAAGCCAAGTCTCAGATTTGAAAGCATTTAAAAATATCCTTGCAACAGCCGTACTACTTTATACTTTATCTATTTTTAGGGCCTCAGTGTTTGTTTTGCTGGAAGAAAAAAATTAAAACATGAAAAGTATGCCATGAGCAAATCTGCAATAATAAGCAGCACATACATGTTGTGGAAGAAAATATTCAACATAAAGCAGTCAACATAAAAACAGATTCTGCTGAGGCATTTTTATAAATAGCAGTTATTATTTTGCTTTCAACTGCTGAGCACTTTAAATAACATGCCCTTAAAAGTTGTCAAGTGCTCTATTTCATATAAATATCATTTCTTGATCTTAACTTTCATGAAATTATTATGGAAAATTATAAATGTATTCCATTAGTTCCATGTGTCATTTTACAGTCATTATATTGTTAAAATTAGAAGCACAAGGAAGAAATAAAAACATAACAATGGCGCTGAAGAAGCCATTTATGAAAAAATATGCATGACTCTGTATAAAAACAAAATCTGTTGACAAAAGTTTCTATAAAATATTTCAAATAGGTATCATGTCACCCAGAGATTTACAGATAAAATTGTCCCAACTGGCTGTCAATAGGTCATAAGAAATGAAGAGCATACCCTACTTAAATGTCCCTTTGAATTCTCGAGTATACTAATTTGGGGTAATTAGGTTTTGAACCCAAAACAACAGTTCTGGAACTGCGCGCCTCATGTAATTACTGCGATACACCCGAGCAAATTTTCACACTGTATCTTTAAAAGCAAAAATCACTTTAAAAGGTTCTGAATCACCTCCATCTGGAAAGTATAGAGGTATGTAAAGGAAAAGGATGGCTATTTCAATACTAGGAAAATGAAGTCTTAATGCAAGAAAATAAAGCGAATTGCCTGATTTCCACCACGGGGTAGCACATTCCGACTCCCGTGACTCAACAAGAGCTGTTGGCCGTGGGTGGGGCTGATGCAATCCTCCATCACCATGTTCCCTGAGACCAAAGGCCGCCCCCAGTAGTGGCGGTTCAGAGAAGCTGCAGCTTTGTTCGCTTCTGTGGCAGACACCAGAAACCATGGTAACACTTACAGGGCCCGAAACACCTTTATTCATTGCTTCAGAGCTTCTCTGCCTCAGCCCACATGATTCGACTCGGCAATATAGAAAATGGTGAAGTAGGGTTCAGAAAAATACTGACGAGCACTGCAAATCATGTTCAGAGTAGAAATTGTGACTTTGCTAGCATTTCACCAGTATTTCCTGCCTCGCAACTAACAGATGCGTAACCAAAATGGCTTGCTGTGAATTGTGTAGCATCCAAGCCAAAAGCAATAAAATTTCTGTAAGAGCATATGCGCCATGGCAGAATACATCAGCCCAGAAAAATGATTTTCCTGGGAAGGCCTGTGCAGCGATGAATAGGGCTCTCTATGATACGGAAGCTGGGCAGAGATTTTCGCTGCTTCCAGCCCACAGTGAGGTAATTTTAAAGGCCCTTTTCCCTTCATTTGTTCTGCATTCACTGAATGTACATTTTTTGATGTCAGAGGGACATTGCAGAAAAGATCACACAAAATAGTCTGACAATGGAGCCAAAGTTCAAAGCTTCTCTATTTTCAGGTAACAGCCGCGACAGTTTGTCTGCACTAAATCTTTCGAGGGCATGTCACTGTAACCCCTTCCATAGCTTTTCAAACAGTTCAAGACAAACAAATCACTTAGTCGTTGAGCAACTGTAACATCTGATACCATCACACAGAAGTTGTAGCAATAGTCACTAATCAAAGTTTCTTCCATTCCGTTGAAAAAAGAAAATTCCTCGGCTTTGGTTTAAGATCACCTTTTTATGCTCTTTTGAAAATTATTATATGCCAAGGTTGGGGGAGAAAAAGGATCCTCCCTATAAGAAGAACCAGAGAGTCAGGTTCTAGCCGAAGACCGCTGTCAGTCAATAACTATGGGGTGAGGTGGGAGTCCTCGGAGGTGACTGGGGAGCCCCTCAAAGGAATAGCCAGGCCTTCCTTAGACTCGCTCTGCCAGTCCCGCAGAGAGGGCCCACTCTCAGAGGTCTGTCCCCCGCAACGGTGTTCTCCTTTTGGGGCTTCTGACTGGCTTCTCAACGAAGCACGGACTGCCAATGCCAGCACCACCAAGCGGTAGAGCTGCAACACCACCACGAGGAAGTTCTTCGCGGCAAAGAACACCAGCATCTGATTGATGACTCTGAAATACGTCATCAGTATGAGACGCACGACAAGGAAGGGCCCATCTTGTATGAAGACGCTGATTCCGATGTTCCACAGATCCGCACTGTACTGGCAAAAGAAGAGGCTGGGAAATCCCCTCTCTGTCACAGACAAGGGGCACACGACATTCTGTACTGAAAACACAAGACCGACTAGTTACTATCTCTCTTGGAAGCATAGACATGTAAGACGATGACATGGGGACAAGTCATTAACCATGGGGGCTGTGCAAATAATAATTCTATGATTTAATTACAGAATGGAAATCAAATGGAATTATCCAGTAATTTAAATCTGGGTGGAACAAGTAAAGCACCCTGCCCTGTGGCTTGCATCCATGTAGGAAATGTAAGATCATGTAATTCTTACCCTGGGCAAAGCACAATTAAATAGATTCTAGGAACCAGGCATGGTCCCAAGTGCCCATAGCCCAAGCTCCTTGTGAGGCTGAGGCTGCACCATGAGGGGAATAAAGGAAACTGCCATTGTGATCCTGGGGTCCACAGTGTAAGGAGCCCTCAGAGTTGCATGATCAAGGCTTCAAGTCAGGAAGCATGACTGTCGCATTTTCCAGCAGCGAGTTGCTGGCGTGGTCACTTAAGACTTCCTAGGCCACAGTTTCTTCCTTTGAAAACTGGGATAACAATCATATCTGTGAGGAGAGGGGTCCTTATTCATTGACTCATTTTGTTTCCATTAGAATAACAGCCCTGCTTTCAGCCCACTTTTTCCTTCAATCTTCTCCTTAGGATCACAAATGATTTGTTTGATTGATAAGCTTGGGAAACCAAGCAAAGTGTACATGGCTCTGATCATTCTACATTCTCTTTTTAGGATCTGTTAGTTTACACACTCAGTCATGTGTGCAGATTGTGCTGTGAAGATTCAAGTGCTTATATTCAAATTCAAACTTAATTCATGTGAAATGTATTTTTCAAATGATGGAGGAAAAAAAGTCCTGAATAAATGCCATTGTTATTTTATTTTGTCCTAATTCCTTGTGCTTTTGTTTCACAGTTTGCAAGAAAGACTGAATATAATTACTGATTTTCCAGTTAAACAAAAGGAGGTCCAATCAACAGAAGAAACTTTTGTCTTAATTTCTCAAATGTAAATTTAATTCAGGGTCAAGGACAGAAAATAATCCTTTTATAATAATGAAGCCTTCCATTTGGAGTTTTCAAACAATGAATGCCTTCGTTTACTGGATCCTGCAAATATTATGAAGCTGCTTTGATATGGATGAACATAATGTACTGTTTGTTGGAAAATACAATAATGATTTAGTCAGAGGTAACATTTGGTCTTTGTTTTTCAAACAGCTGCATAACATTATCACCCCTGAAAGTTTACAAAATGTCTTTCTTAAATACAAATTTTCTTAGCAAGGCAATAAACCACAAGATACGGGAGGGTGAGGATCAGCAGAGTGAAAGACAAAAGACGAACCAAGGTAAGATCAATGGTAGCCTTTCCGAAGAAATGAGGGCCAGGAAATGGCTCCCAAAGGACTTTCTAACGGTATTAACTCAATATCTAAAATGATGGCACTTAATATTCTGTAAGTGGACACCAGCTTGATCAATGAATGTAGCATACCTTCCAGAGCACACTATGACAAAATGTGTGTGTGTGTGTTACTGACATATATTTGTTTGTAATTATTAATCAGTGATCTTGTTTTTGGTATTTCTTAAAAGCCACAGCAAGTTTTTCCATCCATTCTGTTAAGAATTCCAAAAAGTGAATGCTATGTTTAAAATGGCCTCAGACCTCTGAGCTTACAAAAATGAACCAAAAAAGATGGAGAAAAAAGTTCATATCCCTGTCCTAAGGGTTAATTCTAATCCTGAGGCTGTCAAATAGGGCGTCATAAAAAATAAAAAGTCAGGCTGAGGAAAATGTGATTATTAATTTCTAGAATTTCTTTGGAGTAAAGTGACATTCAGGAGAATTCTCAAATCAAAATTCCAGGGTTCCAAGAAGTTTTGGGATGACCCCAGATCAACACTGCTCAATTGAACTTCCTGTGGTGGTAGAAGTGTTCCATATTACTGCTGTCCAATATCGTAGCCATTGTGGCAACTGGGCGCATGAAATGTGGCTAGTGTGACTGACAAATTGGATTTTTAATGTTTTAAATTTTTAATTTATTTTAATTTAAAGAGCCATGTTATTGGTGGGTCCCCTGTTGGACAGTGCAGCTCTAGATCATCACTAGTATAAATTGCCTGAGAAACAGATTATGTCTTACAAAATCTTAGAGATTTATGTTTTTATTAAAGTAAGACCAATGGAATTCCAGGGACCACCAATGAGGACAATTTTGACTGCTTCTATGCCTTCTGAAGTTCCAATACATGGGTCTGACAAAAGAATGAAAATTACTTCTTACAAATAATGAGAGATAAAACTTTTATGGCAGCAACTTGCTAAGTAAACGGTATATTACTGAGTCATGACAAGAATATTCAACCCTAGTGACTATGATTATCATCCCTATTACATGGATGAAAAAAACTGAGACACAGATGTATTACCTGGTTTGCAGGAGGCCTTATAAATCATAACTGATGGAACTGCTGTTTGAAGTAAATATAACACTGTGCAATTATCTGCTCTACTATCTTAAGCTCACCGTGTACCACAGTGGATCCACTCTTCTTGGTTTTACTAAGTTTCAATCTACTTTCCTTCTAATCTGAACTAGAACTAACACTGGGATATAGACATGAAGATGCTCTCACTTGCCTTCTTAGCTTTAGCATAGTTTATAATCAAGAGGTGTAATTTTCTTTTCTTTGCACAAACATCAAGATACTTACCTGCCAGGTCAAGTGGAAACTGCAGCATGCTCCAAGTCCATATAACAAGGATGGCATAGACTAGTGCAGGGCTATTCCTGGAAAACAGACCAAATTTTAAATTTGTAATAAAAAGTATGATCCCATGAGGAAGAGAAAAATCTTCTCAGCTCATTTTTTAGTATATCTTTAATAAACCTCTTGTGGCCAAAATATCCAGTGATTTAATAAATCAGTGAAAAAATTTCTTGCATGATAGTAATGGAATAATAAAGAAGTGAAATATAAATAATCAGAGACTTAAAACCCAATGTATGCATGAATTATGACAAAGCCTCTTGGTCTCTTATTGCTGTCTTTAGTTTTACCAAATTATGGAAACATTATGGGAGGGAAATGATAGGGGAGGAAATGTAGCTATTGACATGGATATTCAAATGGCTGATTTCAAGGAATGTCAGCAGGGGAAATTAATAATTATTCTAAGAAACCAGGAATCTAATTGAAAAGATATTTCAAAAGAGCTAAATGATGCTCAAAAATTAAAAACACAACATTGAAAGAAAATTGTCATTAGATAGGGAAAAGTAAAGAGATAAATCTAATAAACGAAGATTTATACCAGATAGTAGAATGTAAGGCAAGGAATAAGCCTGTTTCATTCACCACTGTATCCTCAGTGCCTAGAACAGTGCTTGATGGATAACAGGCATTCAACATATATTTGTGGAAGAAATGGTTGAATGCACAAAAGCAGAGTCTATACTCAGACCAACATATGAATGTCCTAGACCTAGGAAAATGGTCATGAAGACTACAATCAGAAAGAATAGAGGATAAATGTGACCCTTTTTAACATCCTTTGCATTTCTACGATACAGAAATGCAAAGGATGTTAAAAAGGGTCACATTTATTTTTAGCAAAGATAGGAAGTCATCCATTTGAGCTTGGTGGTGTAATAACAGATTTTGTTTCCATCTTGTCAAGAGAGATTTTCAGATTGGAGAAGTCTGAAAAGCATCAGGGAGGAGTAATTGAAACCAAAAGAAATGAGGTGATTGTAAGGAATATCTTTAAATGCTTCAAGTGTAGAGGCATTAAATGCAAAATTGAATCTTTAAACTCTGAGAGAATTTGTAAATGAAGTTTCTACACCATCATTATCTGTTTTGGCAGTTAATGGTGGAGACAAGGTTGATGATAGAAAAATAAAGTCTTATCTTTCAAAATGAAGCAGAAATATGTCTTAAAGTGCAAAAGGCACATTTACTATTAATCTCTGTTAGATTATAAAAATTATTCTTTAAAAGATTTCTGAGAGCCCTTTTAGAAACAGACAGATATTACAAAGTGTCATCACAGCTTCTGTGAGAAATATTGCACTCAACTAAACTTAGCTCCTTTTTTCTAAAAAATATAGTTAGGATTACCAAGCAGGTAAAGCTGTAAAAGTTGATGACAGACATTCAGATTTAAACTAGGTTTCTGAAAAAGTCTCCCATAGTGTCCTCATTAACAAAACTAAGAAATATTCCAGGTGTGAATACTGTTAGATGGATTCCTGTGTAAATGACTCCCCGTAGGGAGACTCTCCAATGGGTTGCTGAAGGCTGTGCTTTTGATTCTTTTCTACTTCACATTTTATCATGACTTGGTTGACATTGATGGAAGGCTTCTCATATGCACATATGGCATGGACCGTGGATAGAAAACCAGTACCCTGGAAGACACAATCAGGATTCCAAAAGAAGTAACTGGATGGCCTAGATTAGAATAGAATTGGATATAAGAGATAGCATTTCACAGCAGCAGCCATAAAAAAAGGGCTCAAAGATTTTCCCTTACTATTATCTAATTATGAGTCCACAGTATGACAAAATTTACAATTTACCAAAATCAAATAAAATCATAGGTTGCTTCACAAGAAATATAATGTCTAAAATTTTAAATGTAAATGCCTTGGGAATTCAGACTATCACTTTTCCCTCTTTACACTGTCAATATCTATACACAACAGATCTTCAATAAGTGCCTGAATTTTTAAATAATTTTATATGCAGTTTCTGATTTCAGACGTACACGCCAGGCAGTTTTCTATGTTTAACTCTATGATCACAATCCTCATACCAACTCAACAAAGTAGACACAATTATTATCTCTATTTTACCAAGGAGGTGACAGAGACTTGGGAAGTTTGTCCAAAATAATCTGGTTATGAGTGTTGAGAGCAGAAATCAAAACTAGACAGCTGATTTCAATATCCACCCTTTCTACCATTACATTGTATTATTTCCATGAATGAAATGGAAACTTTTAGTTCTCCTCTATTCTACAATGTTCAGAACATACCTGAAATATTATGTGTGGTGCTTCATGTTTTAGGAGAAACATTTATAAAGTTTCCTGTACCAAAGGGGAAAAACCAGAATGGTAAAGGAATTCAGAGTCATGATCTATGTGAAATAGTTCAAGAAACTGAAAACTAGAGAAAATTCCTTAGAAGTTTTATTTCATATGTTTAAGGGCTATAGTGTGGAAAAGGAATGAAACATTTCTTTTGACTTGAGATGTCCAATTCAGGCTCAAAGGTTTTCAGTTGTATCTGTAAGAATTCAAATTTCATCACAATAGCAGAAAGTAGTTTCTAATAATATTACCTCAAATAGAACAAGTTGCCCCTTGGGGTTAGTATATCTTCTATCAGTGGAGTTTTTCAAACAAAGCCTATAGAAAAATTTGTTAAGGATATTTTGGCGAGGATTTTTCAATAGATGCAAAAGAAATTTTTCACAAGATCGTTACTTTTGAAGTTTCATCTAGTTCAAAACTTCAATAATTCTACCAAAAACTATGTTCAATTTGCCTGTGACGCAGTAGAAAGCAGTGGCAAAGCAGGGGGCTTTGGTGCCAAGAGACCAGAGTTCTAACACCAGCTCCAACTCTCACTGAAGAAATAGGATGTGAACTCTAATTCCAGATTGATCAGTTATTAGTTATATGAATATGAATTAGTAGTTTAACATCTGTATACTTTACCCATTTATATTGTGAAGAATACAATATTAATAGTTATTGGATTATATGATAATTTTATTAAGTATATTATTTAAATATGTCACACATATAAATCTCCTAGAACAGCATGTGACACAAGGTATTATGGTAGATCACTACAAGTTAGTTATTTTTGGTTTCATGTAATCTTGAGACTTTCTTAATTTTCCTTGCCTGATATGCCTTTGCTTATAAAATGGTGATAATAATGCTATTTACTTCATAGTGTGAATGTAAAGGCAAAATAACTTATTAAATTAAAGCATTTAAAACCTCTTAGCACACAGTGAGTGATAAACATTACATAATTGTAGCAGTGGTAATTTTACTGGTATGTCAACACACTTCTTAGAATCTTTATATATTATTCATCATCCTACAAAATAGGGATAAATGATATACTAAGCCTAGCCCTAAATGAATCCAACTTTAACCACACAATAATGAATGCAAGCTTTTTGAATATGCATATATTATCTATGCACACACAAAATATGGAAGAATGTGGATGCTGACATACTAGTAAGACATACTAGTAAAATTATCAAACACAATTTTGGAATAGTAAGTCAAAAAATTTTTAAAGCAGGCAAATATGAATTACTAGATTAGACAGTAAAAATTCTCAACAAGGTTAAATGTTAGAATGTAAATAAATCAGGGATGTTAATGGCAAACACTGAAGATCTGCAAAGGAATTTTGGGGGTGGATTTATTCACCACTGTCCCCATGTATGTAATCTCCTTCACAAATGTCAACTGAGAAGTATGTAAGTAGACAATGAACTTGATTCAGAGACCGACAAAAAAAAATCTTGGGAAGTTTAATTATTGACATTAGTATCATGTTTCTATTTGAAAAGCTAGGAACTGGCATTTGGCATATCAGCACACTCAATCTGGTGGTTGAAAATAAAAATAAAAAGTCATATTTTGCCAATTTGCTTAGCTATTTCTTTTTGGAAGTGTAAATATCCTTGTAGAAAAGAGAGAATCAGTGGATAGAATTTGTCTAGTTTCTTTTTTAATGACAAATACAATCAGAAAAGGAAAAAATAATTAAAAAGGAAGAAAAAATTAAGTATTAACCTATCCTAGAAGAAATATTTCTCCATCTCTTCCAGGTGAAAGAGAGATTGGCCTTAACTCTGCAAAATAAAGAGAAAACACAATGTAAACATAGGAAGAGTCTCCTTTGAATGGTCAAGTAATCACAGTGAAATGTTAGTAATGCTGTGAGAATAAATGATCTATTATTATGTTGGAGGGGAAAAAAAAGACTGCACAAATTGATCTCCAAAGATGTAAATGGCCAGGGAGCTCTTTGTGGCAATGATGTTGAAATTCTGACTTATGAAAATTTTGGAAGGTGGCTATAGCAAAACGAAAAGGTCAACAAATCCTCTTTCCAACAAACATGTATAATTCTAAGAAATTTGTCAAAACAACCATCAGGGCTTGGAAAATCAACCAAAGGCAAACAACAAATTGAGTAACATTTATTTGTGAAAAACTAGCCAAACTTCAAGTAAGAACAGTGGTAATCTGAAGCATTCTTACCCATATATTCATTCCCCTATCCCCAACTTGGCTATGTTTGTTTTTTGTTTTGTTTTGTTTTGTTTTAATTGCACTGAATGAAGTTAAACAGATGAGGAAGAAGTTATTCAAGACTATTGCAATGCAGGAGAAAAGATTAAACTGAACTCTGCTAAAACAAAAAGTAGCAGAGTTTTCAAAAACTGGGGTGACCTACTTGAACAGTACTGGAGAATGTCAGGATGGGGGTTAGTAAATTTGATTAGGCCACTTGTGTTTGGTAATTGGCACTTTTCAAAGTAGGATCTTACCCTCTCACAGAGGCAGGGAGATAGGGGCTCCGTCTTTCATTAAGACTGCATTTTAAGAGATGGCTCCCAGGTCCTTGAGAAAGATATTGTTGGATTGCAAACTGGCAAGAGGCTGGAAAATGTACATCTTAAAGGGACAGAAATAGAATTTATGATATCAAGTTTCTTTTCATAAATCCTCTATGAAAAGATA